CCACCTTGTATAGTCTATTGTTGCAGTAGTGGTATTGGTAGCTCTCGAAGTAAGATTACCGTTATTGAACGACTCATTTCTATGTACCGTTCGCCATCCTCTGCTACAAAGTTTCCATTATCCTCTTCCCTTGTTGCGTCATTAAGTTCGCATGTCATGTGATTCTGGTTGTAGTTGACTGACTTACATTGTTCGTTCTCAACGCATTTAATGACACAGGTCCCCATACTTTTGCTCGTCGTACTTTCAATATTATTATTTTGTAGTTTGTGATCGTTTGCAATCACTGTGGACCGGTGTAGATCATTCGGTTCTGATAAAAATAATTTATGTCAGATGAAAACTATATTTTAAAGAAAAAAAACAAATGGAATCAAGCCTTCTGGCGAAATTGCATAACACCACTACACTGTCGCTACTTCCGTAGCGTAGCACTTCCCCGGTTAGACTTGCCACAAGTCCCTTATTATTTTTTTCTTATTCTGGGCAGCGCAACTAACGAGTAAGTCAATTTAGAGATTATTAAGAAAAAAAAAACATCGTATGGAACGCCAATTAAATTTGGTATTGCGCGCACTAAGCGCAATGAAATTGAGTACCTAAATTTAGGGCCTGGAACTCAGGCTAGTCTCCAATGGAATCGGTAAGGCTCCGACTCCGATCAAATAGACCACTTAGCTTCACCAAAAGTTGTTGGCTACTATTATAGCGTGTAGCGAATTTTGGAACAAGCATAGAGAAAGATTTGGACCAAGAGTATCAGATCACCCTGTCAAATAAAAATATATTCGCCCATAATAATATAGAGGTTTCGAAATCTTACGAAAAATTTAACAAAAATGGCTGCCAGTAAAAAAATATTCCTGCTTTAGAAAACCTAATATCATTTTTAATATATTAATCGGCCTTCACGAGAAATTTGAAATTGAAATTTCTAATAATTGTAATCTGGAATATGGCGCCAATTCCTGACCAATAATAATCAACTAGCTAAAATCGTATAAAACTTACTTTCAACATCTAAAACCGCGTCAAACATGAACCGACGGGTATTATAACTTGTAAAGGTAATTTCAGTCCCAATCTCAATTTGATCGGGCTTGACTGCATGTTTATAAATCGATGCCCCCTTAGAGTACACCCTAAGTACGTACAACGCAGAGTCTGTGTAGGTCAGGCCGATTTTATCTCCAGGTACTACGCTTATTTGCTGAGAATATGATAGCTTGAATTCTGTAACTACATCGCGCTCTACTGGTGACGGAATCATTGTTTTACCAACGACTTCGTAAATGTTATTGTCGGCGTCCACCGCTCTGTAAACTAAAGCGATGATGTCTCCAGGTCCACCTGCCATAAACCGCCATCCAGTGATCGTACCAGGACACTTAATCTTGTTCCAATCATCCATCCAAATTTTCGATAGATATGCAACAAGAGTCGTCGTCTTCATAAGTGGCCAGCTGATAACGTGACATGGTAAATACGAATCTAAAATTCAAATATAGAGGCAGTATTAAATTATATTATAGAGTATTATATCATATCATACCATGCAATCACACCCCATGGATACACCAGTGCTGGACGTTTCGTTGAGAACAATCTTTCTGAGTATTTTCATTCGTTTGGTTTGTGGTAGACTTCGTAGAGGACATTGAAACATTGAAAATCAGAGATCGAATAATTGTTTTTTTGTGTGTGATCAGTACACTTTCTGTTAATGGAGGTAATACTCGCTATTGATTGAGTTTCTTTTCACAAACTCGATCGCGTTTAAAGACACAAAATTCTAGCGCATAGATTTGAGCACGGCGGCTCAGGGTTGCCACGGCACTGAGTTTACAGAAAGGCCAAATGCATCGCCGTACGTTAGCCGCAGCCGATAGCCATTTATTTTCTAGATGTCTTCGTTAAGTAAGGACTTTCAGTGGGCATGTACAGTAGGCGTGGATCAACAAAGAATGGCAAGTCGAATACGGCCATTCTACAAAATTCGAGAAAAATATATTATTATAATCAGAATTGATGAGGTTACTTGGAATTATTGAGTTCGAATCCAAAGAGGGGAAATTAGTTTTTTGTTTTGTATTTTCTTACCTTTTAACACAGCCTGGAATGAATACGTTTCCATGTATAACTCATCAATGTTGTGAACAGTTCCAAGTAACAATTCATGTTTACTAATCGATGTAGTAAATAAAAACGGAGTATCGCTATTACCGTACGGTATCGGAGATACATCGAACTTGATTCCGATACTGTCGCCACTTCGCACTGGAATCCAATCCGATTCCTGCAGCGTAAACTCGCGAATCTGATTCAATACTTGTTGCGCTGGTATTATGGTCCGTCCAACTACAGCGTATTGGTTGTCAGCAGCGGCGTACGGGCGCATCACCAGAGCGATAAACTCTACAGCCCTGGTCGGAAAGAACCGCCAACCTGTTACAAACCCGTCACAAGTTATCGGATTCCCAACATGTACTCCTGTCCGTGTGCCGTCAGATATATGCTCTCTGGCAATCGGTGTTTCTCCATTGTAATCTGGACAGGTCGCTTGGACTACAAAAGTGAAATACACATACAATATATAATTTATAAAAATTATACTTCCTTATTAAATTGTTTATATAACCCATGAAACTAAAAATAATAATAATACTAAATAAAATAATAATAATAATAATAATAATAATAATAGGCCTAGTAATAGTAATAATAATAATAATAATAATAATAGGCCTAATAATAATAATAATAATTTCGCAAGGTCTGTTTAATCCGCGTTTAAAGACGCGCACACATATCGCCAGTGGCGTACTGGTATCTGGGAGTATACCAACTGTAAAAGAACAGGACAGAGTGGTGTAGTGTTTATTTTGGTGGGATTTTGTTTTCCCTTTTTAGTTAATTGAGCAACCCACTGTTGTTCATTAATTTTTATTTATATGGATGTGTTGTGCAAAAGCTGTTTATTTATCTGAGTACTTGTTTATGTATAAATTGTTTCTTAATTAATCGATTCCTAATATTAGTGTGTTTTATTTATTTATTTATTTTTTTGTTGACTTTTTGTTTGTTTGCAATTCTCTCGTTGTCAAGTTTTATTTGTATGGATTTTTCTTCTTGCTGCCAACGTATTTGGCACAAGGACGTTATCGATGCTATTCTTAATGCCGAAACAAAATCAATGTCTGGAACACAATATTATTGATTTAAAGAACAATAATTCTACGACGACTAATAATAATAATACTACAACTAATACTATTAGTAATATTAATACTACTAATAATACTTCTACTACTAAATAATAATAACAATAAATAATAATAATAATAATAATAATAAATACTAATAGTAATAAATAATAGTAGGGCCTAATAATAATTATAATAATAACAATAATAATAATAATAATAATAATAATAAAAATAATAAAAATAATAATAATAATAATAATAATAATAATAATAATAATAATAATAATAATAATAATAATAATAATATTGATAATGATGGTGATAATAAACAATTCAGTTCAATCTTGTATTGCTGCAAAAATATACATACAAAACTAATCGAGGTAGACATACAACTATCCATTAGAATACTCTATCGAGTAACTAAGACGTGTCCGTTCTGGAGTGCCATACTTCTCAAACGTCAGCTCTCAATAAAACTCACATTGTACAATAGAATGTTTTAACGGAAAGTTGTATAAATAAATTTAAAGGCCAAATTTTAGTGCCAATGGGTCCGAAGTCTTCGACAGAGTCCCGGATAGAGCCTCCTTAAACCCGACGACCAACGAAGAATCTCCTAGAAAATAAACCATTTCCAGCAAGTTCATGATGTTTGTAGGCCTATGTTTTTAGAGGTTTTACTACTGCATTATCAGTTGTCTCCTGGAAGTCAGTGCCAATGGTTATCACAAATGAGCAGCAAAATATATTTGGACGTGTTGAGACTGAAAACTCAAAACAAATTACTGGATAATGATTTTTCCAACTTGGGATTAATTAACACAAAAAACTATGATTTTGGCAGACAAAAGAGGGGTGGCGCCCGACAAAAAAAATCACAATTCGTCGGGTAGAAGAAAAAAAATATGTGTATTTTCTATATTAAAATGGATTAAATAAGCCTTTGAAACCCCTAAACTGTCACAGTTTTCTGGGACTTCGCACCTTGGACACTTTCGAAACATTTTAAGCGACGCTCCACCACGCCCACTTTGCTGTCGTCGAAGAAATCTGCCCCCTCGTCGGGGAATCCCCCCCCCCCGTCGGGGACCTCGGACGCCACGTCGGGAAAATCTTGGCGCCATTCCTGAGACAAAAATGAAAATGTTGCCTTAAATTAAAAATATATAGGCCTGGTGGTTTTAATGCAGTTTTTTACAGACTACAAACATCAAAATAATACCATGATGATTTGAATATACAGTGCTCAATATTGACTTCGATAGTGTTAGTAAGACACGGCGGCTCAGAGTTGGCACGGTGGGTTTACGAAAGGACCAAATGCATCGCCGTTAGTGGTGTAACGCCTATGGCGGCGTCTTAGGCGGCGTCCCCAGGCCCCGACCTCGGGGGATCCGAAGGGGTCCTATCCATAGGTTCCTCGATCTAGCACTCTGACCAAAGAGGACTTCGTTTATACATAACACCAATGTGTCTCTGAAATCGACTGTAGAGGCGGAAAAAAGAGGGGGAGGCTGCCGTCCCGGGGCCCCACTAAATTTGCCAAAATATTTTTTAAGTGGAGAAAATTATGATTACAAGTTTATGTCTGTGAGTGCTATTTCTGACGATCTAGAGGTGCCATAATCCTAAATTTTCTTACCTTAGCCCCAGCCATGGTGGGGCTGAGGTGGTATAGCCTCTTGAACCGTGAAAGTCCCTGCCTGGCCCATTTATTTCAAATACCTGGTTAATAATGGCAAGCCGAATACGGCCATTCTTTAAAATTCGACAAAAATATGTTATTATAATTATCAGAGTTGAGTTGATGACGTCACTTGAAATTATTGAATCCGAATCCAAAGAGGGGAAATTTGTTTTTGTTTTGTATTTTCCTACCTTTTACCACATCCTTTAATGAATAGGTTACCATTTATATCTGATTGATGGTGTAAATAATCCAAATAACAATTCATGTTTACTAATCGACCAAGTAAAAAAGGCAGTATCGCTATACTGGATTACCTCCCTGGTAAGACGTTGAAGTTGTTATATTTTTGTACTTAAATGATGTTTACAGAACGAGCGGACTTAATGTGTAGCTACCGAGAAATGGTGTACGATGAATCAGTAACAGCATACAGTAAATCATTCTAAAAAACTTGGAAGAAAATATTCGAAGATAATGTATCATCATGGTTTTTGCAGACCCAACTAAAATTTCGCTTCAAATAAAGAAAACATTCAAATACACTGTATAATGATTTTAAGCAGTTTTTTTTTTAATATGATGACTGTAGAATGTAGATACATAAAAACAATACACAGCATAAGATGACGTTTGACGGTGTTGTTAGTAGTATCATGGACCTATTGTATGGAGATTTGGGTAGAACGATCACAGGACTTGAAGTGTGAATAATGGTTTACTGAAATCGAAGAATAATGGTAAATGTATATCCATTCTAAAACATTTGGAATAACAAATTACATTTACTATATCATTTCTTAATTTCCCTCTAAATAGAGATAGGCCTATTATATTATAAAGACAACGTTTACTGCCGGTCTGTAGGCCTAATCATAGGGATTCGAATTAGAGACCAAAGATTTTAAAGGCAACTAAAACCCCGGTCATAAAAGTAGTCTTTTAGAGGGAGACTTGCATATTATAAAGGCCAATTCAGACAGCGTAGTACGACGCAGCCCGACGCGATTCATCGTCGATGACAGTCTTGAGCCGTCTTGAGAACTATATGTTTAATATTCTACGACGCGACTGCTGCCCCCGACGCAAACCACCGCGTCTGCGTCTCACACAGATCCGACGCGAAAACGAATCGCGTGGGACTGCGTCGTACGACGCTGTCTGAGTTGACCTTAACATGCACATTAAAAAAAAAATTATGAAGGTTCACTTGCGGAAAGAGGGTTATAAGATACAAGATGCAAGGTTCTTTATGATAATGAATACAAAATGCGTTTTACACTGCATGTCGTGAAAAGTTACATATATATATAAAAATTACACTTAGGCCTATATAAAAATAAATAGGTAAGTAGTTACAAAATTAGTACATAGGCTTAATACAGATTGAACACCAAAACCCTTAAAATCAGGCCCCTGCTGCGCCTTTACGACGGTTGTCGACCGCTGCACAACGAATCTAATTTCGTTCCCTGTGAGAGCTAGACGACGCAACGCCGTCTTCTGATTGTCGGTGGCAGGCTGAACGGATCGTGATTAAAAACGATCCAGTGCGTGCCCGTCGCGTTGTGTTCTTCGTGGAATCGTGTCGGCCGACAATAGTCGGGCGCAGTGAGTACCCGGCTTTACGGTACACTCTGTTGAAAATCATAAATTGAGCTAGGAATGAAAAAATGCCTGAAGCGAGGTGTTTTTGTTCGAGGGGCACGAAGATGAATACCAGATCGGTCGAGGCTGAAGGCCACCTCAGACAGCGTATGACTGTCCCCAACGCGGATATATCACGTTAAAGTCTAGCTCCCACAGACCCGACGCGACGACGAATCGTGTCGGGCTGCGTCGTGCGACGGTGTCTGCTTTAGCCTGAAAGGTTGTACACTAAAACGGAGTTTTTTGCTTCAGCGAAATCAGTAGCTCGACCTGTTTCTACTTTTGCGAATCGAAAAAATGCAAAACCAGTCAGTGCTCAGGAAGCGAACCGATGCGTCCGATTCGCACGAATAAATTCGCCTGGTGGAAAACTGGCTTTAACAGTTATATAGTGGGTGCGTCGGATCTTGCAAGGTACATTTAATATAGAGGTCAGATAATTGAACTTAGTGAAATCTTGAATAAAAGTCATTTTTTTCAATGTTACTTTACAATAGACAAAAGCAGAAATGAAATAAAAATGGGTAAAATCCCGTAAAAGGGAGAGAAAACAGCATACAGTAAGCCTAACTCATTCTAAAAAACTTGGAAGAAAATATTCGAAGATAATGTATCATCGTGGTTTTTGCAGACCCAACTATAATGTTCGCTTCAAATAAAGAAAACATCCAAATACACTGTATAATGATTTTAAGCAGTAAAATTAAATGCAATAGTCTTAAAAAGGCTTAAAGTATCAATTACAAAATTATCGTCTCGTACATGTTGACATGTGTTTGGCAAGACATGAAATGTAAACTCTTTGGAATATCTTCTATTAACTATACTTGCCGCTGCCTTTGTTGTGAATCATATAAAAAAATGTTCTCTCTTTGGTAATGAATAGTTATGAATAAAAGCTAAGAGCAGTTAGGTTTTCAAACTTGTGAATTTACACCTAACAAGCACTGAAATGTTGCGGTACTGAGGGACCATAACTGATCGCATTACCCAAGGCCGCTCTCCCTCTCGGCGGTAGAGCGCATACCTGTTCGGATTCAGGTGTCTCTGATGGTTTCGCATTGTTATCTAGCTGTTGTTGTCCCCCAATACCGCATCAGTTTCAACTAAATCAAATTTAAGATAAATAAAATGCGTGTAACCTGTATGAGTCCAGCTTAAAACCAGTAACAATAGGAATTTACTTTCACCACCTCCGTACATGTTGTTATGAGTTTGGCAGGACATCAATTGTGAACTTTTGCAGATGATTGCTATCCACGTCAATCAATATTATTGTTTAAGTTAATTGATTAACATGTCTCAGCACTTTCGAATAGCTTTTAATGCCAATATTCTGGCTTTTCTAAGTTGAAACTGTTAACCCCCACCAAATGCGCACCCACACCCTTAAATACGCCACTGCCACTCTCGGTCGCCTGACGCCGACACGGCGCTGTTTGCTTATTGTCGATATGCCTGGCGTAAATAACACCAGGGGTACGACGTCAATCCACGGCGTAACTTGCAAGATGTCCATCTAGGCGATTAACGCAACGCTATCGTAGTTTATTCGCACGAAATATAGAAATTCATAATCACACATTTTATTTCCTTGGTCAAGTCTTGGACGTGTTTAAAATCATTAATTAGTGACTGTCGTAACGCCGCGGCTTACGCCAATATTGGGCCCGTTGGTGGAATATCATACACCAGTGATTGCAAATGCTGGCGTTTGCTACGCCACCCGCGCACAAGTCACACACCACTCGATCAGCGTTTTACGCTAATGTAACTCGTTGTGTCTGAACAAAGCCTAAACTACCATCATTAAAAATGATCAGCTTTGTGATTCACAGTTGGTTAATTCACAAATGATCAACATTTTTAATACGGTCATCACTAATCAATAATTTCCATTCCGTTAGAAGTAATCAGACTAGTTCTATTGATTTATTCTATTTGACATAACTAATGCTATGGCAACACAAACAATACATCCTAATAGGTAGTTTTCGCTGCACGACGTTAACCTTAACGTTAACGGATGACGTCATAATTATTTTATTCGTCTTGCATTGCGGAGTACGTCAATTTCATGATTTTACGTGCTCGACGTCTGTTAGTTACGGGTTTGCGCATGCGTATTTCGATTTGTTTACAAAAAAAGGGGCGGAGCTATCACGCTGCATGCTGGGTACTAACGTTAAAGTTAAGGTTAACGTCGTGCGGCGAAAACTACCTATTATCTCTCTTATATAACGCAATATACCTAATGTGCCTATATGTCACGCAGAGTACATATAATAATATATGTATATTCATTATATATTTTTTTTGTCTTTCGTGGGTGTTTCCCACCTTTATTGTCATTCCATGTTAATATATCAATAATACGTTGTTCAATATAATACACAATTCTTATTTATATACATGCACATTATCTTACAAAATTGACATAGTACTCATGCTTATATACAATTAAAATGACAGGTAAGATTAATTAGATCAATTATATCAAGCATTTAATTTTAATCATTGCTTTCACTTTCATATTTAAGAAGTAAGTGAAAGCCATTAAACTTTGAAAAAAAAAAGAC